CGCTGACACCTATAGCCCTTCGGGGACACGGAAATGGTGCCGGGGCAACCCTTACGGAGAAGGGCATACTCATGATGGTCGGGGTAACCTGATGGGGGAGTTTTTGGTATAAGTCTGACTACTTAAGGATTATACGAGAACTCTCCTACCCCGACGGAATCAACATCCTCTCGAGAGACTTTAATTGAGATAAGCCTGAGCTTAACGATATTAAGTTTTACCGTTTACTTTTATTCTTTATACTTTTGCAAGAGCTGTGTTGAGAGATTTGAAGTTTGGTGCGGTCGCATCCTTGGGAACCATCTACCTGAGGGAGCCCCCGTTACAGGCAGAGACTGAGCCATATTGGTAACAAACCGCAAAACAACACGATGACGGGATAAGAATCTATGAAACCAGCCTTGGGAGAATACAAACAATCCTGGTGGAAGATCAGGATATGTTGTTTTCCAAAGTTCCTTTGCCTTTCTGCGAAACCATCCATCTCTTACTGGACGACCCTGAGCTTGACGGGCTATAAAAGCCTCAAATAACTTTAGCTCCATCTCCAGCCAGAGACACATAAAGGTTGCCGGAGTATCACGACGCGAGCCATCTCCTCCTACCTGTTTCACAATCTTTTGTGAAACCTCAGGCTTCCTCCACCTGCTGATTATGCTCTTGGGAATTTTGAAGAAGACCGAGGCTTCATCAAGTGTCAGAGCTCTCATCTTAATAGCGGTGTTTTGCACGTCATTTGGTACACGGTAGAACTCTAGCCAGTTCAACACCTCGATCTTCTGCCGCTGGGTGTATGTTCGCTCCACCCTCTGCTTTGGTGTTACCTACTCATTGCCTAATTAGCTATCGCCCGCATATGCTGTGTAAGTAACATGATGGGCACATACCGTAAGCCTTATTTTCCGGTGATTGAGAGACTTTGGTTGAGGTCCTCGATGTCTCAATCTTCGCTCATTCACATCCTTCTCCTTCAATCTCCTCAGAGGTGTTCTTGTGGGCGGCATTGTTAAAGATATCTGTTTTGTGATTGATTTCGCGTGCTTTTGACCGTATCGCCAGAGGTAAGGTGTTGTTGTTTTAGTGATTCTAGCCGAGCTCCAAAAGCGGATAGCCTTGAAAATCACCTCCTTGGCAACGGTCTCTATGTACCGAGTGGTTACGGTACGAGTACACCTGTCCTCGTGCTAAAGGGGGGGGCTGCGGGGAAGGGTGAGTGGCTGTGACCAACTTTTCGTCTCTTCCGGCAGACCTTGACCCTGCTACACTCCTACAGTAATATCATTATCGTACCGGTTCTGAGCGAGCCTGGGTGGGGGGGTCTTCCCGGTCCCTTGTCCCCGCTGTCCGTATTTTATCGTAACTGTTATAACGGTAATATTATACCTTGAGGATGCTTTCTCCGTACCGGTACCGTACTCGAGCACAGTGCTTGTGCGATACAACATTCCGTTCCTCGCACAACGCGCCTTAGCGATAGTCTACAAACCTTGACGGGGAACAGCTTCAGTACGGTAGGCCGCTATGAATCTCACAATCGGGAGAGCCAGTTACTTGTACTCGTACCGGTATCCCACCGCACTGCATGCACCATGGTGGAAAAGAAAGAAAACCCATGCTCCAATCTTGTTGCTCTCGGGGGGGGGAATGGCCGGAAAGGGGGTACTCGTAGCGGTGTGATGGATGAAATTGGCAGAGGCCCGCAAGAACATTACGGTATTTAATTGGGTTCAAGACCGTGGAGTTTTGCTGGTAGTTTTGCTTTGGGGGAGCTGACCTTCTCTCTCTCACCTGCAAAATGTCGGATCGCCCGCTCTCGCTACGATGCCATGGGGCACTCGGGCAGCGAGTTTGGCTACTCATTTGCCGCGAAAATGGCCACAAACTTTGCTGACCTGCTGGTGCCCGCGCGACCCGTCGCGGGACGGAAGGGAAAGGAGAGGAAAGGGAAGGAAAGGAAAGAACAAGCAATGGAGGAAAGTGAGTCAATAAGAAGTCTCGTACAGTACAAGTACTCGTAGTGCTCGGGATTTTGGAAAAATTTTCCTTACTCTCAATGGCCCAGGGTTGTTGGTTCGGCAGAGTTGTGTCACTGTTTCTGCTCGTCTCAGGCAAGAGGTACTGTACGCCGTACGGGACGATTACAGTGCTGTGTTCGTACGGTATCATACCGGTACCCAAACACAAGGGTTAGAAAGGTACTAGTACAGTACGATACCGCCACTCGTACTTACCAAATACTGTACCGGTAGGGTCAACAATCCGTGCGCATCCGTACGTGCAAACAAAATTACCTTTCACGCCCAACGTCAGGGTGCATATCTCGCCTGGGCGAGCACTGTCGTGACTGCACGAGTACCGTACTTGTACCATGGAAGACACAGCAACGGGATTGCAATGGTCTTCGTCCTCTCTCCTGATTGGTTTGTAGGAAGGGGATGACGAGCGATACGGTAGATCACCTTGCAGGGAGGTTTCACTCTGAACAAGGGTATAATCCCCGACCCTCTAATCTCGTTGCGCCACTTTGTGCAGCTCGTCCTCTCATTACCGTATTTCCGCTCTCCATACCTTTTATGGTAGGAATTTTCTGTTTCATTTGCATGGGTATCGGCCGGGCACAAGTACTCGTACAGTACTCGCGTGTCGGTACTGTACTCGTACTAGTACTTGTAGTAGGGAGCCTGAAGTGGGGTGGGTGTTTGCTATGAGGAGGCTTCCTCCAATTGCTTTCTGGTACAGTGTCTGGAGGGACGGGGAGGATAGGGTACACTGTACGAGTACCCTACTGAACCATTCTGATTCCTTCCCACCGACCGAACATATCGTACCGGTACTTGCACAACAGTTCTCTGTGTGTGATAGCATGTGCGGGTCCCCGGCGCCAATGTCACAATCCGCGCGTGTATCATTCACCCTCCCCCCCCTAATGTGTCCTCGTGGAATGACCCCCCCCGCCCCCGGTACGATACCAAGCACAATGGTCAGGGTGAAAGCAAATTTGCTGCCAAGTAGCGACTGCTGATTGCCACGATGGGGTGTGTGTGTGTAGGTTGCCCTGGACCGCCTCACTCGGCCCAGGTCCTTTTCTTCTCCTCCTCCCCCCCCTTCTCGTGAACTTTCCCTCCCTTCTTTTCCTCACCCGCATCGCATCTCTCTGTAGCGCCTGCGTCCCACGTTCCTTACCTTGCCTTTTTTTTCGCACCTGCCCTGTCACTCCTTCAGATCCAACTACTTCATCAAAAAAAAATATTTTGCTATCATATCGTACATTTCTTCCTTTCTTCCTTTTTCTTTTTACAGCAGCGCTTGGCCTGTTTTCTACTACCTGCCGGTACACCGCGCCATCATTGATTTGCCATCGTTTTCCGTAACCCCCAATATCAGCGGAGCGGAAGGAAAAGAATCGAAAATCCCACCATCAGCATCTAGGATAGTATCGAAATGGTCTCGTTCAATGCTCTTGCTGCTGCTCTCGCAGCTTTTGCGGCGGTTTCTGAAGCTACCTATCATGGACATATGGCCAAGCGTCATCTCCACATGAGGGCCTCTTATGGGAACGTGACTGATGTCTACCCGGTTCCCATTGGAACTGGTAGCCCGGCCCCGGTTCCTGTCACCACCACTCCGGCTGTTGTCGATTCTCCAGAAACTGACTACACCACCACTACTGCCCAGACCATCGCCACGTGTCTTACGGTCACTTACACCTTGGGAAATGGAAAAGAGGTTGTTACCACCATTACAAAGGTATGTTGTACTCCAATATCCGATATACGCTCTCGAGGTCTTTGGGGACTGACAAATTTGATATAGTACGAGACAACTACTAAATCGGTTGCCCATGTCAAGGCTACCTTGACTGTCGCTCCAATCATCGAGTCGACTCCCAGCGTCTCCCCTATGTCTGCCTCTTCTACTGTCGCTCCCGTTGCTAGCTCAGTTCCCAGCAGCAAAGAGTCTAGTCACACCCCTGTGTCTGCCCCTTCTACTGTCGCTCCCGTTGCCAGCTCAGTTCCAAGCAGCAAAGAGTCTAGTCACACTAGTACCACTACCCTGTATGTCACTGCGCCCCCAAGTGGGACCCACACTGTTGCGGCGGGTCCTAGTGCTCCCACTTGCCCCAGCATTGAGACCGTGTACCTTCCGACATATATCACTATCTACAACACAGTGGTGAGTATTCGTGATACCCCCCCCCCCACATGTTATAAATGTTGGCTGCTGACAATATCTCAGACCGCGGTCCCCCCTCCCCCACCCACTCACAGTCCTGTGATGATACCATACCAAAACACTACCTCCCGAACGACAAGAACCAGCACCACTACCCTCAGCTTTTTCAAGACGGTGACGCTGACCGGGTCCCCCGCCCCAACCGCGCTTTAGAGCGTTGGATTCCTCGACATGCGCATAGTCTCTTTGTTGAAATTTAGTCGTCGAGGTGGTAGCTCGAAGTGTCTATATGCTTGGGGATTCATCTTCAGCACAAACGGGGAGAGACGGGTGAAATGTCGCATCTCGCTCGGGTCATCAAATTTTTTCGTGGAGTAACCCACTGGAAGGGTGCAGAAAATTCTTCATTTCCTTGTATTTTTACTTTTTATTTTTATTTTTTACCCCTTCTCTTCCTTCTTCATTTAAAGCCCCCCTTTATTTGTTCCTGTGGATGTCTTTCATAGAGGGGACGTGGAGACGCTAGCGTGCTTTTCTGGCTTGGTGTCATGTTGTCGCGGTTGTTTCGGTACTCTTGGTTATTTTCTCAGGGAGAAAACAATGACGATAGCTTTTTACGTGTCGACGCGGAGGTGGCGATTTTGGGGGCTCTTGGATTGCTGGATTATTTTTTTTTCAAACTTCCGACCGATACTTTTATTCAGAGACGGGGGGGGGGCTGGCTTGGGTCCATCGCTGGAGTGAGTGAAATCATGTCCCTGGACTGTAATGCTTAAACCGGATAAGGTTAAAATAATAGTATTGCATGAGAAATTTGGTGAATGTGCGGGTGCCATTTGTCGAACATGGGATGAACATCAGGGGGTTTCCGGTTTCCGGCCGACCATGACCATCCGCCCCTTTATGATAGACACATTTAATTTGGTTGTCGGAAATGCCGGTTATGATACTGTACGAGTACTCGAGTACGGTACGGTACGGCACTCCAATAACAACAAGAACAGCAAAGGACCGAAGCGCGCCTGCGTGATAAAATCCAAGGAACGCTGATCGTCAAATCTCCCAGCCCCCCCTTTTTTATGGACAGGACTCTCCTCCCCCCGTTCATATGAAGGGGGGTTACTAACAGGTTGGTACTGTAGAAACCCAGAACTACGGTACTCGTATCATACCGGTACTCGAGCATGATTACTGTGTACCCCCTTTTGAAACCGACCAAGAAGCGGGTCAGAGATTTGTTGGGCCTCATTCCATTGGTACTCGTACAGTGCCGGTAGTGACCGTCCCAACCACTAGAATAACCTCCAAGAAAGAAAAAAGAAAAGAAAAAAAGAGAGAGAAGGGCTCGAAAGAAGAAGGCTTGCTCAAGTGGGACTTGAAGACGGCGTTCGTCATGAATAAGAGTTTACCGGTATTAGTTTAGAGCTCTGGTGTCGGGGGAGTCGATACATAGAATAAATTACGATACCTGGTTTTGGCGGCTGCTAGACCAGCCCTGTCCGCTGCTGTCGGACGTGATTCGCGGGGAGGGGAGGCAAAGATCAAAATGCTTGATATTCATCACCTGACCTCGCCATCGCTTACATACGTGGACCACCGATTAGTCTAGCTTGTCTCGGGGGAGTCCAAGTTTCCAGACGTTGATCATCCATCTAATCTTATCAAGATAACAGATCATCTCTACAAATCCATCCGGCATCAAACGTCGCGTCTACTTTTTCCATCCAACTCGATCGCTTTTTTAAGCCTCCGACCTCTAAACGCAACACACACCTTACCTTTTCCTTTCCCCGCGTCCATCATATAGAGCTCCACCGCAATGGTAGATCATTTTGTCCCCTCCCCTTTTTGATTTTGGATGGATGGATGGATGGATGGATGGGGCTTTCCGGAGCTGATGGTGGATAGGTTGTGCTTGCTGCCTCGGTTTGTACCCGTGGGGGGAAGGCCGTGCTATCGCGGCAGTTCCGTGAGTGAGACTACCCCGCTATGACTTGTCGGAGGGGCGAAACCGGGGGGGGGGCTAATTGGTCATATAGAATGCCCCGCTCGAGGATTGAGGGTCTCCTGGCTTCGTTTCCGAAGCTTACCGACACCGGCACTCAGCATACTACTATCGAGACGGAAAACGTTCGATATGTCTATCAACTACTTGTCCGTTTATACCTGCTTTGGCTTTATTGAAGGGGGTGGGGGAAGGTTGACGTTGTGATTAGGATGAGCTTTATTTGGTTCTCATTACAAATAAACAGTCCAACATCCTCCAGGATATCGACTCCTTGCACCTCTTCGCTCAGGTCGTTTCTTCCATTTGCAAGTCACTTGACGAACGGGAGATTCTTAAGCATTCGTTCGAGTTGTTGAGTGCTTTCGATGAGGTCGTCTGCTTGGGATATAGAGAAAACCTGGGACTGCAGCAGGTCAAGGCGTTCTTGGAGATGGAGAGTCAGGAGGAGAAGATTCAGGAGATTATCTCACGGGTATGGCTTTTTCGCTCAACAGCTGGAGGAGGCGGGTATTGACTGAAATGCAGAACAAAGAGTTCGAGGCTACCGAGGAGCGGAAGCGCAAAGCGAAGCAGCTCGACCTTCAGCGTAAAGAGATGTCTCGCAATCCGACTGGTATGGGGTCGACAGGACGTTTGGGTGGATCCCATTCCTCGCATTTCCCCACGTATACCCCTCCACCTAAGCCGGCTGTTGCCGACTCGTATGATGCCTATGAGAAGAAGAAGGCTTTTCCCTCTGCACCAAAGGGTAAAGGTATGCAGCTTGGCCGCAAATCCAAGACCACAGAGATGTTTGATCAAGTACGCAATGAGTTAAGCCCCGAGGCGGAGGAGCGTGCTCCGCTCGTCCAGGCACAAGAGGCTGTTGCTTCGCCGAGACAGAGCTTCGGCGGTGACAGGAAGGCTATTCAGGTTATCATTTCCGAGCAGATTAGTGCCGAGCTTTCCCGCGACGGCGGAATGAAGAGCTTTGAAGTCAAGGGTGACCTGCAACTCAAGATCCTTGATCAAGCCCTGTCAAAGGTCAAACTTGACATCTCAGCAAACACCTCTGATGCACAATTCCGTACGCACCCAAACGTGGACAAAGCGCTGTTCGGCGGACGGTCCGTTATTCAGCTCAAGGACCAATCCCGCGGCTTCCCGCAAAACCAGCAAATTGGAGTTCTCCGTTGGCGCACTACCACCGGCGAAGCCCCACTTTCCTTTACCATCTGGGTTAATTCGGGTTCCAGCCATGGAAAGTACAACGTCACGGTCGAGTACGAACTTTCTTCCGATGATACGCTCAGGGATGTTGTTGTCAGCATCCCATTCAGACACGATGAGCCATCCGTCACAAGTATGGATGAGGTCTACGAGGTTGCGGGGGATAGTCTTGATTGGACGCTCCCTTCTGTTTCCGAGGATAATGCTACTGGCAGCTTCGAGTTTGAAGCGGAGGCGGACTCTGAGGGAGAGTTCTTCCCGATGACTGTGAGGTTTAGGAAGGGGAAGCCGATTGTTCCTGTTGATGTAAGTTTGTTCTGAGTTTTCTCTCTCCTTTTTCATTTCCCCTTCAAGGGACCTCGTGCTAATGGGCTGCATAGGTCGACAGCATCACCCTGCTAGAGGTGGGCGAGGGTGTGGACTTTTCCAAGGAGATTAAGGTTGTCGCGGATAATTATGTCATTAATTAGATTGGGGTTTTATTTTCTCTTTTCGATGATGATGGTTGGGGGTTAGAAATAAAAAGTGATGTGATGTTTTTTTTTTGTCGCTACCGGTATGACGGGTTATCAAGCCCGATACCGGTATGGCGTGATAGCCGTGTTACGTGTACGAGTACGGTACTCGAGGATATCAGCGCACAGCTCACGCCAGTGACACGGATCTGATAACCCCAGATCTAGTCCCAATGTTCTTCCTAATGGGCTAGCGGCGGCGAAATTCTTGGGGATTAATACCTACAAGAGGAGGGGTTCTAGCCAACCCTTCGATCAACCAGCGAGCCCCACTGCTCACCCATCCACAGTGGCACCTCGCTATCCCGGACGGCCAAAATCCGAAGTATTTGTCCGGTACAGCGAGGGATCCGCCACCTTCATTTCCCACTAATCTGCCTCCTTCACTCCCCTCTACCCACCCACTCTTCACCTGTAGTCGCACCCAGTTGTCCCGGGCAGCCAAAATCCTAAGAATCCGTCCGGGACAGCGAGTTATCCGAGACCACAGATTTGGTCTTGGTGTAAAGAAATTTATAATTGAGAGAAATTCATCCGGGACAGCGAATAATCCGGGAGAGCGAGGTCCGGGACAATGGGGTGCGACTGTATTCACCGAGGTTTTGTGACCATGGCCGGGGGAGGTTGGACGATGAACCACTGGTAGACCAGTCCGAGCCCAGCGCGGGTTTTTTTTCCACAGGTCATGATCTAAAGGTATGGCTCTACTAATTGCACTCTGAAGTCAGCTAACTCTATAGATTGACATGGTAACCGAATCTCAGGTCTTCTGTCTTGGGAACAATTTTGTGGAAATGATGAAAGTTGGTAATTCTATTAGCACCCGCCAGTTATTAGGACTAAGAATTTGTTAGAGTTATATAGTCTATGCAGAGATGCGGAGTGATATAGGGAAGATGAAGGGTGATTTGGGAACCATTAAGTGGCAGATTAGGGCCCTACCTACTTACTGCGGTGATTGAGAGATGGGGTAGTGTAAGGAGCCGTTTGGTATTACATGTTTGGAAAATTTGGCTGGCTACAAACCATACTGTACCCAGGCGGTCGGCCTGAACCCGCATTTCCATTCATGGCGTCGGGGTTCTTGGCATGGCAAATGAGTATATTTAGTGCAAATAACTTAAAGTATATTTGTATTGGGTGAGGAGTGCGATATCCATTTCACATTGCCAGAGACTTGGTTAAGTGACTTAAAATTGTATCCTGCAGTCTTCGAAATGTATCCATTCTTACCAGTCACCACTGCTAAGATGCTTGTCCAGTACTGTACCGGTATTTCAATCTTCCCCCATGAAGTGCCTCTTTTGCCGTGCCAAGAGCCCTCATACCATGTATGGAAACCCGGCTTCAAACTGGCGACTTGAGTATATATCTTTTCCTTTCCTTCCACCTCAATGATCGCTGCATTGCGAGGGAACCTCTATTCATACAATAGTGGGGGGGAAGGCACATTTCTCCTAAATACAGAAATTTGGTAAATGTCTGCTGCAGGGATAATGCATCGGTCCGGCCTGGAAACACACCCCGCAACTCCTTTCGCAATAGAGAGTTTGCGCAGGTAGACACCTAGGTGGGAGTTATTAACGATGTCACTAGGGGTTGCTACTCGCATCAACAGCCCATCAAACTCCCGACAATTGTTGAGTTTCTTAAATTCCATGTATTTAAGAGGTCAATCCATCAGCCAATTCTTAACTTTCATGAAATTTCTCTTCTCAGGATTGTCCTTGAGAAGAATAGCTACAAAATCATACCTGAATAGAGGCATAAAAGTGCAATTCAAGTGGACATTTGTGGTCCTCAATTCCAGGTCCGATTTTCGGGTTTTTACACCTTGACCAGGTGGGACCAAAGAACCAGGTGGCCAAGCCTTATTATTAACTTATATTAACGCCACCTAGGTCTCACGGCGCAAACTCTCTAATGTTTCCACTCCAAACGAGAATCTGGGGAACATCTCCGAATTATGTGCTCGCCAGGCCACCCTACTAAAAAGCCCTCAAAACCCTAACCGCTAGTTTCTTTTCGGACAACTGCCCTTCGGCCACCTTGCTGAACCCGGACTTGGCCCCATTTTTTTTTCCCCTCTTGTGCCTATGATACCTCCCCCCCCTCCACTTCTTCTCCAACAATACCTAACGAATCGAACAAGCCAACTTCAGATACACAAAATAAAAAGGTTCACCCGGTATCCGTCAATACACTAGGGCCTATACACGCACCTGCTGACCATCTACCCAACGGCGTGGAGATTTCCCTCATTCTGGGAAAATTTGTGACCATGGCAATTGTCGTGCTCGGAAGTCAATTCGGTGACGAGGGGAAAGGCAAACTTGTCGATATCCTCTGTTCAAGTGTCGACGTCTGCGCGAGGAGCGCGGGTGGGAATAACGCTGGTCATACCATCGTGGTCAATGGAGTCACCTACGATTTCCATATTCTACCCTCAGGTCAATTCTCTTATCCTCACCTCTTTCTTTTTTTTTTTTGCTTTTTCTTCTTCCATATAATTATGCAGTTCTCTTCTTGGCTTTCAAGAAGTGCCATACTCTGGGCTTGAATTAGCTGACAAGCTGCCCTCTAATATTCTGTCGGAGCTTCAGGCCTCGTCAACCCAAAATGTCTCAACATTATTGGGTCAGGCGTTGTCGTTCATGTTCCCTCCTTCTTCCATGAATTGGAGAATATTCAGAAGAAAGGCCTTGACACTACTAACAGGATCTTCGTCTCCGACCGTGCTCACCTCGTCTTCGATCTTCACCAATTGGTTGACGGACTCGAAGAAGTTGAGCTGGGTGCAAAGGGGATTGGAACCACCAGGAAAGGAATTGGTCCAACGTACTCTACCAAGGCCGCCAGGAGCGGTATTCGGGTTCACGAGCTATTCCACTGGGAGGAGTTTGAGAAGAAACTAAGGCTTATTGCTTCTGGCTACAAGCGTCGCTTTGGTGACCTTCTCAAGTATGATGTCGAGGAGGAATTGGCCCGGTACAAGGTGGGCCATCTGTTGGCAGGATAAGGGGAATTGGCCACTGCTCACCATGTTTCCGATTAGGTTTACTACGAGACTCTCCGTCCATACGTGGTCGACGCCGTTGTGTTTATCAAGCATGCCTTCGACACCAATAAGCGGATTCTCGTAGAGGGAGCCAATGCACTCATGCTTGATATCGATTACGGGACCTACCCGTTTGTGACCAGCTCCAACACTGGTATTGGTGGCGTTATCACTGGACTGGCCATCTCGCCATTCAAGATCAAAAGTATTATCGGTGTCGTCAAGGCTTATACTACCAGAGTGGGGGCCGGTCCGTTCCCAACGGAGCAGTTGAATGTAAGATCTCTAGAGATCGCCGAATCCAAGACCGGTTCAATTAACGGGCGATACCACTATATAGGAAATTGGTGATCACCTTCAGAGTGTCGGTCGTGAAATCGGTGTTACAACCGGAAGAAGACGTAGATGCGGGTGGCTCGATCTTGTGATCATAAAATATTCCGCCTCCGTTAACCATTACACTAGCCTGAACTTGACCAAACTTGACATCTTGGATGGCCTCAAGGAGATAAAGGTCGCCGTCGGCTACCGTGTAGACGGAGAGGAGCTCGAATCGTTCCCGGGTGAGTGCCCCGACACCCCTGGTTCCCCCCGGCTGGGACGACTGACTGCCCTGCAGCCGACCTTACCATCCTCGAGCGTGTGGAGCCGATTTATAGGATCTTCCCGGGTTGGTCTACACCTACTGCCAAGACCACCTCTTGGGATCAGCTCCCCGTCGAAGCTCGGGAGTATGTTCAATTCATCGAGGAGTTCGTCGGGGTCGGGGTCGAGCATATCGGCGTCGGGCCCGGTCGCGAGCACATGTGCACCAAATAGGTATTCCATCGTTGCTTTGCTCTCTCATTCTCTGTTAGATCTGGTTTTCTTTGTTTTGCGAGGGCTATATCCGGAGTTTACGGATCCGTTGAAGGAGAGAGAAAAGGGGTTAGATGGCTTGCTGTACATTACGGGAAACAAAAAAGCGCATGGAAGAGTTGCGATCCCTATCTTAGATATCTGGCCGCACAGTGCCATGCCCTTCACACAGTACCGGTATTGTATCGGGGTCTGGGGACTTCTGGCGCACGACACCGGTAAAGTAGCCGAAAACGAGACTGGGTTTCCTCCTGGTCAGCGGTAGGTGGTGGTGTAGGGATACCGGTAGGGTTCCCAGATATCATACGGTATCATACTTGTACAATACTTGCACTAACTCGTTCGACCGGGGGACTTTGGGAAACGTCGAGCGCCCTCCAGGTCCTAAACTATTCGGACACCATGGCACGGATCAATACCGGTATACATATTCGCGCCAAGGCATCCGAATACTTTAAGAATCGGGGAGCAAGGCACCCTGGAAGCACAGCTCATCACGAAACTGAAACCACGGTACCGGTATTGCGCAAGCGGGACAAAAGGGAAAGGAAAAAATGAAAAAAATGAAAAAAGGGAGAGAAGGAGAGCAAGAAGAACTACGGTCCTGTACCCAATTATCCAATCCCCCCCAAAAGAAACCACCCGGAAATTTACCGGCGGGTCTGAAAAAGTGAGCAACACGGGAAAGGATGTTTCCCGGTGTTTTGACCCCATAAGTTAGGCGGTAGCGTATAAAACCCTCACCTCTCACATCACCCCACCTCACCTTCCCCCCCGACTTCAAAAAGTATGGCAATGTCCGGAGATCTGCACGCCAAGCTTCGCGAAACCGCGCGGAAACGCATGAGTCTTGGCGGTATGACTTTTGGATATACCGGTACTGTAATACTTTTCTGGTATGATATAGTACCGTACTGTACTAGTACGTTAATATTATTACGCCTAGCCCCAGTATATATCGTTCTACCATATCAGGGAAAACAGGGGTTATTGTAAGGGCAGACAGAGGGAGAGAGAGAGAGAGAGAGAGAGAGAGAGAAAGTTAGTAACGACTCAGCCGTCATACAAGTGGATACGGTACCCGTGTCTCCCGAGCTGTTCAGGTTTCGGTGAGGGAGATTGCGATGACCGTAATAGTTTGGTTCAGTATACCGGTAATCTCATACCGGTATCATACCTCGGACGTGCATCCCTACCCCCTTTCGGGTAATTGATTGTGGTACTCGAGTAGGTGTGAGGTTGTGTGTGGGCGGGGGGGGGGCCTGGCGTGGCGTTGTGCGAGGTGAGGTGAGGTGCCGGAGCGTGGCTGGGTTGTCTTGACGTGCGTGACTGCAAGGGCGTTTTTTTTTCTTCCTTTCTCTCTCTCTCTCTCTCTCTTCTTGAGGGGAGGGGGAGATCTTGCTCTTGCTCCCTTCCTCCCTCTGCTTTGTTGTCCCGGCCGAGCTCACCTATAATAGAGCTTTACACGGGTGAGAGGGTATGACGACCATATCAGAGCAAGATCTAATTTAAGGTCAAGCATAGATACCGGTATCTAGCTAGATTAACCGGATATGCTGCTGACAGCTGTGATTGGCGATATTATAAGGGTGATAGGTGTATGGCGAGTCTGCTACTGTAGCTGCGGTGGGATCGCCTCGGATTTTCTGGAGGTCTGTAGGGAACTGTGCTTTCTCTCTTCTGGGGAGTGTCGTTTGTGTGGGAGGCTGGTGGCCTCAATCTACTATTTCGGATGGAGTGGATGGACACCGTAGGAGAGGTGAGTGGGAATACTTAGGGGGTGTTTAACACATCAGAGTTTGCAAGGTACACCAAACTGTAGCGTACAATATAGAAAAAAAATTCAATGTTACAAACCGTATACAGCCAAGCACACCCTACCTTACGGACCTAAACACCCCCTCAGGCTTCTCGGAGAGCATGATTGATACGCGGTGGTGGTGGTGAGAACCAGGTAGGGGCAACCTCCCCTCCCCCCCGTCGGCCCTCAGTGCTCTCTGCAAGCTTGATGGGACGATATAGGCGCCTTGAATCTCTCCACTCGCAGCCATTGGGCACTGGGGGCGTAGTGTTTGAGTGCGATAGCAATGTAAAGTGGAACGGCATAGACAAAGATACCACAGAAGGGGCATTGCTGCTCCTCAGACAGTTCTCGAAGCACGATAACCAAGTGATATAGTAGTTTAAGGGGGGCGTTCCATACCACTACTGCTTCCCCCCGGAACTGTCCATTTCAAGCGAATGTGTGTGAGACGGTTCCCTTGCGCTAGTCACTTGACCGTATCGGGGATGTGATTTTTTTTTTTTTTTTTATCCAGAAATATCTAGGCGATTGCGAGTGGTTAGTACTTCACTGGTAAGATATATCCCAGTTTTCGCTCTTTTTTTTTTTAGTTTACAGGTGTAGAGAGATGAGCACAAATCTGAAGAAGGATGCAAATAAATTGTGACGTGCGGTGATGTTCAGATCATTCATTGCACCGCCCAACGTAGATATATCCGGGTCCGGTGGTCAAGAGTTGGTCGAGTGACTCCTTGTGATGGCACTTTACCATGATAGTCATCATACTCTCCAACTGTTCCGGGGCTCCTTTCTTTCTTTCTTTCTTTCTTTCTTTCTTTCTTTCTTTCTTTCTTTCTTTCTTTCTTTCCTTCCTTCCTGATTTCTTGATCGATTACTTGTGCATTTTTTTTTTTTCAGCGCTCTGAGCCCGAGCTTGGGATAAAAAAAAAACCGCGGAACTGCTCCGGATAACTGTGCAAATGGAGATGGAGCAATTACAGGAATTATCTACTGCATTGGGCTGATATCATACGGTATTACACCTTTAACCGGCGCACTATTTATAACCCCCCGACCATTGGAGTAAAAAAAAAAAGGGGGGGGGGGGAAAGGATGGAAATAGGGTTATGATACAGGACAACGAAATGGCGGGGACACAGTCCGCCAATGGTGACTGATGGGCAGGAATTCTACATATGATATTATAGCACAATTCTTCAGAACCCTCCCCAGGCCATTATTATTGTTGTATGAGATGATGGACGAGAAATTTTTTTTTTTTCTTGTAAATTATTATTCTCCCTCTCTCATATACTATCATGACCCCCCCCCCCCCTTCAATAGCACAAGATTTCACCAATTACTTCCCTTACCCCCCCGACGAGGGCTTGTGCAATGGCAAGCCCGTAGTGAGAATGAATAGGAAACCCCCGAGTCCCCTCCCACTGACCGCGACGAGAGTTGATTGATCGATCCCTGAAATCTTGACCCTCGTGAACGAATCATGCCTGTCCTGCGGACAGTTAATTCGCTGCAGATTTCTTATTTCCCGGCGGAGGAGGAGGTTAGATATCGCATTGGTGACCATTGAACACACCTGAGCAGATACAGCTCCTCAAGGGGGAGGGAAGAGGGGAGCTGTGAACACTGACCACAGGTATCTAACGAACGAAATCCCTTCGAAGGGGGAGGGGGGTAACGTGCAGTGGGTGAAGAAAAGAAAAAAAAAGTATGACAGGTTCCGCTGTGAGCGGGCGGGGACGGGAAAATGGTTTCGGGAGGGGCTATGAATTGAGGGTGCCCGGTGGAAGAATGTTAGGCACCGGAATGAAATGACGGCAAGCGTAGGGTAGGAAGAGTATCGCGATACGATATTCTAGGCTCATGTTAACTCTGCCTGGGGCGCTGCGCGCTATCGTATGTACACGTCGGGCGCCACTTGTGGTTTGTCGCTCCCACAGCGGCGTGTAGTGCCTAACGAGTGATTATACATGACTGGGGTGAGGGTTCAGACAGTTCCGGAGGAAAAACCCCCAGGTTATGATATGATACATATTATGATACCCTTAGGAAAAGCACGTTGTGCGATGTTTGAGGTAGGGTAGGTCACCCACCTCTGCTAGTGATTCCTCCCCGGAAATATGGAGTAAGTAGTTTATTGGTTTGGATTTCCGAGCTAACCTTATGACCAAAGGACATGTTCCGTAAATTGGGGAGAAACCCCCACAGGCCGTCCCTGAGCTAGGATTCTCAATGGCCCCACAGATCGTTATCAATGCTAACCTGGTAGCGCCGTGTAGCCTGTGAGATATTACACTTTTTCAAGGAGCGTGCGGGATAGTTCGATCATTCACGGCAGTTTACCGCACTGTACTTGTCACAGGGCCCCGGTGAATAATGGACTTGAACGGTATCTAATAACATCGGTCTTGGTGAACAATACCGTGGACATACGTGTAGTAACAATAACCCGGAGTGGATATTACAATATTAGGCATTCCCATTCCTCTATCCAAACATAATTGTTTCTCTACTTCCTCCTTTCCTCCGATAAATTCTACAGCTTCCAAGAGCGAGGCTTGAAGAAGATAAAGAGTACAATATGTTCAGCAGCAGCAGCAGCGGCGGCGGCGGCTCATCTAGAACCCTCAATCATCCGAAAGCTACGATTCCCCCTACGCAGAAAAAGAGGTATAGAAAATTAAAGACCCTTCTTGCCGCGTTTCCCGGCCCAAGAGTATTGAAATAAGCAAAGGAGCATATGGGATATAAACCATTACACGATTCTCGGCCGAACAGAACTCCATCCCCGAATGCCCCTACAGTCCTCCAACGTGACACATTTCCACAGAGCCGATTTGGCCCTCTCGAATTCGCCCGCGAGTTCGTACGATTTAGCTAAAGCGAACCAGGCTTCCGGGACATCCCAGCCTCGAGGGGAGTTCGTTAATTGTTGGAGAAGCCCCATTGCACGGTTTCTTGCGATAAGGGCGTTGTCTTCACTTTCTTGTCTGGTCACAGGGGCGCCCTCATTTGCAGTGGGAGCGGAGGGGTTTGAGTCAACAACGGATATGCCCAAAAGGATGTTAGTCAGTCCAATTGTGGCTAATGGGTGATTGGCATCCACGAATAGGGCTGCGTCGAAAAACTCCGCGGAGAGATCTGTTCTGCCTTCCTCGAATGCCAATAGTGCTTTCTAAGCCCATAACGGCTCATCAGTAATTAGGTGGGCTGAAAGGAAACGAAAGACTTGCCTGCGTCAACATGTCCGCTTCGCCATCGCCTCTAGTGCCCACCAGACCAGCAGCCTCCTCAAGAGCCATTGCTGCATCTTGCAAATGCCCTGCTCTCCTGTAGAGACCTCCGACAAATATCCAGACTGTCCTGAGCGCGCCCGCTGCCCGCTTTCTTTCATCCTCTTCCTTTAGCCTGGGCTCCGGTAGTGAGACTGGTCTCTTGATATTTCTAGGCTCTGCGCCCTTGCCCCTGATCTCATCTGTGATTCTGCTTCCAACGGCACTGATTGGGTGCGGCAGTTTACTTTGCTCAAGATTGTGGGGAATATCGCCGGCCCTAGGAAGGTCGGATCTATCCAAGACAGCGTCGACTGTCCCATCAACGGGTGTCCTGATTCCGTCGGGTACGAAGGATGTGCTTGAGCCTGTGAATTGCCCAGCAGCGACTACACTGCTATTACTACTGCCCATCTCCTGTAATTGATGCCTTTGTAGCTTCATTTTAAGCATGTGGAACAAGTGTGGATGGTGGTGGTGTTCGTGCCCTTTGACACTTCCAACAGGACTCCTCTCAGCACTAACAGAAGAGGCCTCAGTGCTGCCAGGTAATGGTGGGGTTGGGACTTCGGGAGCTTGCTTTGCTGAATGCCCCGAGGAATGCAAGCTCCCAAAAGACTTCATTCGCCTGATGGTACCGCCTGATACGCTCTTGGGCCGGTTTTGCTTTTTTGAAGTGCTTGCGGTTTGCGTTGAGCTATGCTCTGTGATTTGGATTTTCGGGGCGTTTGGATTAAGCATTGTTCCCGTTGGTTGATGGAGGGATTGATGACCTGACTTGGGCCGCTTCATTAGTAAACCACCCCCATTGCTCCCAGACTGCTGAAAACTAGATTTGTCTTGTGATAAATTAGTCGCAGAAGCCGCAAACTCCTTCTTATGACTTTTCCCACCCAGGAGACGTGATTTCCTACTTGCAGTGCTTGGTCGGGTAGAAGGGGCACTCCCCACTTGTACATTTCGAAATGCGCTGGTAGGTAGGTCTGCCCCGACTGCATTTGTTACTTCAAATAACCGGCCGTAAAGATCAAGTAGGTTATCGGTCATTCTAACGGCAGCTTCTGGTCCGCTAAGTGCTTCCTCAATAGCAATCTGTGTCATCTTGACCTCCAGCACCCCTTCCTTTTCTCCAACACCCATGCCCCTAAAAACCGCCATATTGTCCCCAAGAATCTCAAAAGCGTTTTCGCAAGCCCGCCCGGCACCTTCGAAATCCTCTTCTACGGTCATAAGTATAGCTAGAAGATGCAATAAAGGGATAGCACGGCGTCGATATGACCCTCGCCCGTCCCAAAATTCGTCCGCTTCATCATCTGCAGCAAGGCACTTCAAGCATGTGAGGCCTCGTTTTGAACTTTCTACCGCGGACTCGATGTCGCCGTGTTCGACTTGAACCAGAGCCAGGCCATACCATCCGTCAACATCCAAATTGTCATAACTTAATCCTTTTTTGAACGCCTTGATTGCAGCCAGTTGCGCATCGGGCCTTCCTTCCGCATCGATCGATTGCCGTGCCCACGTTGCATTCGCCATACCAATGCCTCTGTAGATATCGGATAACACCTCCGGATCCTTTACGTGCCATTCGTCGATCCATTTCTCCAGGGTTTCAGCCATTGTCATCGCCTTTTCACCATCTCCTTCTTTAACCGCACATAATACACGGATCCCTTCAACTGCAGTTTGGAGTATAGTCTTGTCATCATCAAAATCCCTCTCTACATGTCCCTTGGAAATTCTCTCCTTAGCCTTGTGGATGAGCTCAAGATAGGTGCTCAATGCGAGCAGCGTGTCAGTAAAATTCCCAGTAGCAGTGAGAGCGGTGAATAGGTGTCTGAGTATTCGCGGGGAATGGAAGCTTTTGGTGGAAGCCTTGTAGAGGGTTTCAACCACCGCCGAAGCGTCCTCCCCAGATCCTCCAAAAGCTCGCCAATTCTCCATGACGCGGTCAACCCACTCCCCGATAACCTCATGGTACTCCGCAGCGCCTGGAAAAGCCAGTCCTCTAAGGAGGTGCTCTTCATATACTCCTCCAATGGTTTCGAGCTCACTTCTCAGCTGTTCTCGGGTACCTGCTTTCGTCCCCACCCCACCAACCGGTGCACCATGGGGCACGACAGAAATCGTGCCGCTCTTCTTGGGAGTTGGCTGCCTCAAGTCTTGTGATCTCGGCTTATCAGGGTGGCCATCAGGCAAGAGAAGAAGCGATAGAAATTTATGGTAGTTCCTGTAAACCTCACGCCTCTCCATCTCTTTTTCCGGAGTCAGGCCCTTTTCCGTTGTAGGTGAAGATCCCAGGGTTGTTTGTTGGGATTGCGTAATGCCAACAAAGTTATGAAATCCCCTGAATGTCGTCGCAACCATGGCCTCATCTACAACCGTCTTTCCAATGGCCGTCCCGACTCGGCCCTCATCCCCCGGTTCCGCCCCGGGTCGTTCGGCGCCGTCGTCAGGGGTTGGTGAGTCAGGATCCTCCGGGGAGTCCTGAGAGGCGAGCCAGCAACGATAGGCAGCAAGGGCATGGTGCGAGAGAGCTTTTTCTGTCCACAAGAGAAAGGACGGAGAATCCCGCCCCGAGGCAGGGTAGGTGGACGGAAGGCGAGTAGCAGCTCGGTAAAGCTGTAAGGCTAATGAAGGATCATCCGGTTTCGAGTGGGCAAGGGCGATGCCTAGAACACCAAAAAGCTTCATGAGTACTCGGTCTCCGTGGGGAAGTCCTATTTTAGCAATTCGGAAATCATAAATCACGAACCTCTGAGAACAAGTGACTTTATCCTGGTAATCCCAAAATATTCCGCCTTTCCCGCTCCTCCGTTCCACTCCCCGCCGAGTTCCTCCTCGCTAGGCACAACCTTCAGCGTGGATTCCCATTCTCCCTTCAGTGAGAATATCCACGCGAGGACGGTTCTGGCCTGTAATACATCCTCAAGCGTTACAGCACCAACTTGTCCACCCCCGGCAGGGCTCGGCACGTTGGGCAGTGAGGGTGGACACAGCTCGAGCTCCCTCAGAAGAGGCTCCTGGAGGCCGGGGAGAGTGATCCCATCCGCAATACTGGCGGGTGTGGACCCGGAGGAAGATCGTTGAAGGAGATACAAACGAGCTTCGGTAGCGGCAGCTAGGGCAAGACCTGTGTCGAGGAGAGAGAGGTGTCAATATCACACGGGCAAACCATCGCAAACGAAGCAGAGCGAAGGGAGGAGAAATAGCGAGGTACATCTTCGCCCAGGGGCATGCTTCTCCACCTTCCTACAGAGCTCAGGGACGGATTCCCACGCGCCACCGCATCTGGCAGCATCCAACAACTGCAGATAGTTATTCGCTTTTACCTAAATGTCACCGACGGGGTCCGGTCAGTGGTGACGACGCTTCGTGACGGGGGCAAGGAGACCAAGGCTTGAAGGGAAGGGGAGGTTTGGGGGAAAGGTACCGTGCTCATAGAATCAATTGTTGGGGACGGCGTTTGATATGTGATGGGAAAGGGTGGGGGGCCTCAGTCAGGCCAACAGCGACCGGTAAACTATCATACGTGGGAGGATGATCAGAAGTAGGTTCGATGGCTTCGGAACACAAGAAAGTTGGCATGCAGTGTGCGCACGGTAGTCTATGTATGTACGAGTACAGTACAGTACTCTATGCGGCTCGGACACAGGTCAGGCCCTAACCCTTCGGTAGAGCTCACTTCCTCCACGGCAATCCAATCACGTGAACAATGTCTGAGCAGTCAAAGAGATTGGTCCGACTCCAACCGAACATACGGGCGTGATACCGACATCCTACCATAACTCGAATGTACCGGACTTGATTAGCAATACCGGTGCAGCTGAAATCGTGCTCGGGCCCACTCCCTGTGAGATCCGGCATGCCATGGTACCGGTACTTGCACAACTTCCGGCTCTTCCTGGCAGCCAGACTGCAGAGGCCACAGCGTGGCGTGCGGAACTGCTCGAGTACGGTGCCGGTACTTGTGGTCCCGCACACTACCGATACGGTGCGGTACTCGTACTCGGGTACCGTACGAACCAAGGGATGGCACTTGCCGAAACGGAAAGAGTGGATCGTGCCTAAGCTATCATGCCGGGCTGTCGTTGCGCGACGGCGCTTGCAGCACCACACAATTCCCCACCGGATCTTCGCCACATGTGGATAGGCATCAATTTCACTCGAATATCGTAGAACAAATGAAAATAAATACTTACCCTCCCGGCCGCACCCGGGATTCACAGCATTTTCCCGTGCCTCTATTCGGCATACCCGCGGGGAGGCGCGTTGATGCTACCCGCCTCGGTGATGTGTGGCTATTACAGTGAAACCTCCGTTATCTCCAGGACGTGGGGAGACTGGATTCCCTGGAAGTAGAGGGGGGATGGAAAATAGAGGAAAGGCTTGGCAGAATAGAGGGGGTGCTGAGAGAAAAATGAGTGATAGTTCATGAAAGTGTACAGGTTTTAACTCCATATGTCTACATTCCGGAAAAATAATACACCCCTCCCATCTGATTACCCTTCATTCTAAAAACACACATATCCATTCAACTCACTATCTAGTTATCTGGCAATTTGTCCACAGCTTTGCCTAGGAGGTGACATGAAAAAGAATTTTATGCACATGAAACCTGGAATTTAGGAGCCATTTACCACCTGAAAAGAGGAACTAATAGAACCCTAGAACTTAGAGGAGGAAAGCCCATAGAACGAAAGCTGTCCCCAACAAATGATAGAAATACCGGAGACCTGGAAACATTGGAGGGTGGAGTTATCGGAGGTTTCACTGTACTGCTAACTTCCAAGTTTCGATAGAGGTCTACCGACCTCGGGGACAATGCACGCTTCCCGGTTCGGCTAGTATGATACTGGCTTGCCGGTTCCAAAGGTATTCGGAGATATTGGAACGGTTTGGGCGGATACTTTTGGAATCGGTAGGCGAGTACTCGAGTATACCGGCATAGGTGCTACCAGCATCCAACCTTTTACTTGTAGCTGTACCCCGACGAATTCCGCACCTTCTTGAGTGTTATACAAGTAATGGCACACTTTTAGCCTATTGGCACCTATGGTAGGCTGTGGGAAGAGGGCATCCGGATTTCGGGATGAAAACAAACTCCTACTTGGCGGACGCACAGGTTTTGCCTGATGGCTAGCCTTAGGCTGCCATAGCGGTGCTCCTACTCTGACGCCTGTATCCATTGAATGGAAACTTCCCAACCCCGCGCAACATCCTACAGTTGGGATTAGCAGCAGTCACGATACTGGGCATATACCCCCCTCCTCACCACTGCGGTCAGGCAGGCGGAGGTTACTGCGATGGGAGATGCACTGATGGTGCTGCATGACCCTGCACAGCGCATCGCACTATGCCATATCTTTAGTCCCCCTGGCATAGTTTCCAGCAGCACTTTGCACAGGACATCGTGGTCAATCCATCGAAGAAATTGGACTACCTACTCTAGATGGCCTAAACATTGGAGGCCCATATAATGATCTATTCAGCCCAAACATATGCAAAGGTATTGTTTTCAAGCGACCGGGCATCCGATCCGCCACCCGTTGTTAACAGCGGCTCTCGTGAACAAGGAAAAGCAAAATCAGCAAAAAAACAAACACCGGTTCTCCCAATGACCCTACTCGCGAGCGGGGACGCTTCTCCATCTACTCCTCGAATAAAGCCAATCCCAATCGTGGTAACTATGGAAGCAAAGCAGAATTAGTGATGTAATATTTTGTGGCTCCCAGCTACACCATCACAACAACGGACAGCCCTTGTGACCAGCCTACTGAGCCTTTCTAGCTTTAGCAGCCTCCTCGGCCAACCTCTTCCCACGTCTCTTCTTAGCAGCCTCCGGACCAGCCTCGGTATCGAGAAGGTAATCCCACCACCTAAAAGAACTCGCATAATTGCCAATGAATCTTTCGTGGTGAACATCGTGATGTTCGGCGCCGGCCCAGAAAGGGAGGAAGTGGTGCAAACTCCACGGGAACTCGTAACCAGAATGGGCATCAATAGCTTGGAACAGCCGAAGGACGATCCAAATATAGACAGTGAGAATATGAAGGTCTTTGGTAATCATACACCACAAGACTGGTGTGCCGACGGTGCCAAGACCAAGAGCCATAACCTCAATAGGGGAAGCGTACTCGGCAGCGAGACCGAAGGGCGCTGCGTATGTATGATGAATCTTGTGGACGTATTTATAGAGTGGGCCCCAGTGGAAGGCACGATGGGACCAGTAGTGCCAGGTATCCTCCAAGACAAAGAAAATGGCAACTTGATAGGCAATCTTCGTCCATGGTGGGAAAGGGACATCCGTATCCATGCCGAAGTACTTGCACATGGGATGGAAAAGCCTACGAAAATCAGTCACTGGGGATGGAGGGAATCGCGCAATTGAGGCCACAAACCAGATCTGGGGAAGCTCGACAGTGAAGTGAGATAGAAGAACCATCTTTGCACATCTCCACTGCTCTTCCGCGGTCGGGAGCTTAGTCTGTTGTGGATTAGTCCCTGCCAGTGCCGAGATCAGGAAATGAGGGAGGGGGGGGGGCACGTTTTGAATTTTGTATCTTCGGAACCAGGGAATTCTATCAATAATCACCCATGGCAGTGAGCGGCCAAAGTAAACAACTTCGTGCATGATGAACGACATGATCCCGGTAGCGAGGGTATCGTTTTCCATGTATTGATACCCTAACAATGGCATGAACAAGTGTATCCAACAAAGGAACCGGGAGAACTAACACGCCGCCCAGAGACGTTCCAGTATATTTAGGTGAACGTTCACCTGTGAAATCTTCTCATAAACGGCCCAGTAGGCACCCGAATCCGGGAGTATTGTAGTGATGTTCGACCTGCAGCAAGCAGAATTAGAAATGGGTGAACAACGGGAGGGAGGAATCGCCTACTCACATGGCTGTGACCAGCAAAAGGAAGAGACCTTGGCCAGCGGGGTGTGGAGGATTGAAGGATGGATAGGGAGTAGGGAGGAAAAGAGATGGAGGTGAACGATAGGAGGGCAAGGCTTTTAGATGAAGGCAACTCCTTTTCCATGGCGACGCATTATTTTCTTGTGACCCCTGCGTTGCTCAGGGCATCAGGGTTGGGGATCTCGGGATCATTACGCGGGAGTTACGGCGCCCGTCGTCCGCATACGAGTACTCGTACAACGGCGGAACCCCAAATACCGGTAAGCTCCCTCCCAACAAAGTCCTCATTGATTGGTCCGCGAGCAGGGATTACTATGTTTCGACCAGTCAGTAGCGAACTGTGTACAGTATACCGTATTTGGCAGGGCATTTGCGTGTTTTTGCACATGGAGCGACGCGCAGGGGTCAGAATGGGTCGACAACCGACAGGGCAATTTCCCGGGCAGGCCCGTTTTTTCCCTCTTCCCCTTTTGGTACAAGGTCAGCATATGGTATCATACTCGTACAATCCCGCAGACCATCTTGCCCTCTCGCATAAAATGCTCTCACTCGACGCCATATCGTACCACGCTATCCTCGACCATGATACGGTAAAAATTCGCTCTATACGATGCCAGCGCCCAGCTCATCCCCTAGCTATTCTCGAGAGAGGCTCGTCAATGAAGGGTTGTTTTTGAGATTCTGACAGGGCGCACTTAGGCTCGGCTGCCGTACTAGGGTGCAGGGGCCGGAATACCAAACTGCTTGTGTTTCTATTGCTCATCAATCGAGAACACCACCTGCCGGTACTGATCCGGTGCATCGTGCCATACCGTACCATTATCGGCAAACTTTGATTCCAGGACTGTATGTTTGCACCTCAGCCATGATGCCATCCTGTACGGAAGGGGCTGACAAACGGCAGGCGCCGGCCCGGCGAACAAGATCCGTACTGTAGAGTACAGTCACACCCCGTTGTCCCGGACCTCGCTCTCCCGGATTCTTCGCTGTCCCGGATGAATTTCTATGAATTATAAATTTCTTTACACCAAAACCGAACCTGTTGTCCCAGATAACTCGCTGTCCCGGACGGATTCTTAGGATTTTGGCCATCCGGGACAACGGGGTGCGACTGGACTCGTACTGTACTCGCACAGCCGAAGAGATAAGTGTCCAAAGCACAGCGATGACTAACCAGGATAGTGGCTTGGCGCTGCCTTCCATTTAAATACACCCACACCAAAGCTTGTCCACTACACACCGCTTACGATTACAACACTCCTGACAACACTTGTCTGTTTAATGATTCCCCAAATAAAATTCTATTTACTAACGGATAGCCATCAGATTTGAGTCCATCATGCCGCTGCCAGAAACCATTACCGAAGTGTTCGAGTTAGCGAGACAGACTGGAGAAACCGATGAGTCCCGATTTTATGGGCCATACAACGTTCTTCTGAACCACTTTTTCCCGCACGAGGAGAGACACGTGGTGCCGTAAGAACTGGAATAATTGAACCTCGCGCTAGAACGTTCAGAATTCCCTCTCCTGGATAGGGGGCCGAGAGCACAGCGAAAACCGACTCCCCGAGCCCCTACTTGAGATAAAAGAAAAGTAAAAAACACCGCACCATACCAGCAGAGCCAACACCGACGTCCTGGCTCCAGGTTCAATTATTCGAGTTCTTACGGTAGCCCCACAGTATAAGAGACCAACACAATTGAGGTCCGTCGATTTTACGACCATTTTCCTAGTTAGGCACAAAACGCATCCTGTGTTCTTCATCGAAGTGAAATCCTCCTCCGGTCTCCATCACATCTCCAGCCGGCAGGAAGCCGACTTCCAGATGCGCGAGAGGTTTACTCACCTTTTCGAAGAAGTTGAGATTGGGATCCTTTACGGGGCCAGCGCTATGGGGACGAAGCTCTGCATATACAAGCTTGATAGAATCAGCAGGCGGTTAACCCCCACCATAATTCCCAGCGACCCGGAACTAGTTACCGACACAGCACCAATGAATCGGTGAACATAGACCTCTTAACTCCGGAAGGCGAGAAACAATTTCGCGAGATCGTACAACACATCAAAGAGATGTCGGCTCGGCTGGGATAAAGTTTCTTTGATATATTATGGGGGGGAGCAAGGGGATGAAAAAGAGAAGAGGAAAAGGGGAAAAAAGGGGGATAATAAGGAAGAGGATGAGGGGTGGATAAGAGGGGTAAGGGGGAGGGAGGTAAAGGGGGGTAAAGGGGGGTAAGGGGGGGGGGGAGGGGCGCAAGGGGGCAAGGGGAGTAGGGAGGTAAAACAAAATAAAAATAAAAATAAAAAGTGGGGTACGGGGGGGGGGGGGGGTAAGGGGAGGGGAAGGCCTTGATAGCTATAAAGTTTCGCATGAATCCTGGAGCCTAACTTGTTTTTACTTTTTGTTTCTAGAAATGTTATGGTTTGTTCTGTGCATAGGCAAAACACCACGTTTTATCACGGTCTTGCTCCCCAAGGCGAACTTTGGAGCTTTATCTGTTTGGGTAAAACAAAACACCTCTCCCAAGGCCAGGAATACTCCGGGCTAGCCTCGACGTATATCGCTAGAGGTTTCTTGGTCCCCAGAATAAGAGAAGGGTTGCCTTGCTGCCCTACTGCCGGGGGATGAAAATGAGGATTAGTTGTCACTAGTGCCCACTGGATGTGCTTTCCTCCCTTCTGGTATTATGATGCAAGAAAGTTCTTCGCCCCCACAGGGTAGTTATCATGATCGCCTGCCATAGACGCAACAGCGGGGCGCACCTCAACCGTGGATTATCAATCACCGATAACTAGCCAAACCGTAACGCCAGCTCTGGTGTGGGGTACCGTGTTTACTGTACTCGTACCTTCCTTCCGCCTTTCCCCGCCGCTCGGGAAAACTTCCGATTTCTAGAGAGTAAATTTCGAGCTCCCCCGGTGTCCAAATGCCGTTGTATTCCAATAATTAGCTTTCTCTACATCGCTCATGTGTTTATTTGCGATAGAATGGGTATATTGCTTCTTTCAGGCTAGCTTACAGTTTCTGGCCATAAATACAGAGGAGAGTTGCTGGGTTTTGGGGCTCCGGAGGGGAATCTTGAAATGGAAACTTAAAGTAACTGACTGCGCTCTTCAACATCGCGCCTCCACCGAGACACTATGGGGGATGGCACGGTAGTGAGTATATCTGCCATAGTTGCGAGGAAACAAGAGACCGGGTCACGACGGGTGTCCACTCTCCTTTGGCAAGAAAAGTCTCATCCTTCTCGTCCTTTCACTTCAGTTTCGAATTCCGACTTATCTCCTGTTACTGTCCCTGGGTTTTCTCACTTCATGTTTGCATCTCACTTCTACCTCTCTTAGGACCGTAATGGCTCAAATAATTGAACCTCCCACTAGGATGTCCAGAATCTCCTCTCTTGGATAGGTGGCCGAGAGCACAGCCAAAACCGACCCTTGGGCCCCGGCCTGATACCAAAAAACAGTAAAAAACACCGCACAATACCAACAGAGGCAACTCCGACGTCCTAGCTCGAGGTTCAGTTATTCGGGTTCTTGCGGTACTGTCTCTCGCTGCTTCTGCTCTATAATTTACCTGACAACTTCTCTGTCCTTGTTCTAGCCTCTTCTAGCCGTTAGATCGGGATTTCATGAACCAAATATTTTGCAACGGGGGACGCCTTGGCATTCAGACAGTAATTCAGAAAGCGCACTCGAGTAGATAAGTTCAATCCCCCAACATTATATAGTTATTTTAATATGTTCTGTTGCTTGGCAATTACTGTGGAAACTGTAAACTTGTCAGGAATTGAACCTATGTACCTAATTTTTTATGCTAAGGCATCCCCCGTTGTAAATTATTTGGTTCACAGTATAGACGGCCGGAACCATATCATTTATTGCAGTCCCTCCATGGGACAGAAGAGGAAAAAAAATACCAAGCGATGACGATCGGAATAGAAGCCAATCGTGAAACATATCATTAAACGCCAGTCCCAATGATCGAGAAAAAAAAACGGACCCATTACCATCCCGTCCTCGTGACAGCGTATCTCACTTGCGTTTTTGGAGATCCAATTAGTGTTCGTTACGGGGCGACCCCAATTGTCCTCCCAGCCATATAATTTGGTGGGAGCAGTAGCGGGGCCCCGTACAAAGGGTGGCCAGGGCGGGGGGCCGTATCGGGCGGGGGAGGGAATGGAGGAGGAAATAGGCCCCGCCCCGGGCCAAACGCCGGGGCCGGGCGGGGAACGGGGGCAGGGACCTGCAGTTTTCGGGACCCCGGAGGCCCCGTAACGAACTCTAGATCCAATTGGATTAGGTGCTTTAGGGGGCTCATTTCAGACTTGTGTCAAAGCTTTAAGTGTTCCAGCTTATCGTCTGTCTTTTTTTCGGACGACTTTTTCCATGTGTTCCTTCATTTCCTTAGTCCTTTGTATATCGTACACCATGACTTTGTAAGCGAGCTGTGGATACCAGTGTCACCAGAATAACTCAGAAAATTAGAGCATACAGGTGAGCTTACCCCCCCAAAGTTAAACAAAATCGTACCACCAGAAATCGACACCATGTGTTTTATCCACCCTTCGATTCTGCTGAAACCATCATTAATGGCTTTTCGGTGAATCCCAACTTCCTTTTTACTATTAGTTAGCATGTGTAAAACTAATTGTGATTTGATCCTTACGGTTTCCAGAGAAGCCAAACGTTCCAATTCCTACATCTTTGGGGCCTCATGTTTCGTCAACACTTCCTCAATGAGTTCATCAATGACCTTTCTCTACAAAGCCATCAAATTAGCATCTCTCACTGAACAACCGTCGAAAGTTTCACTTACCTGCGCGGTGCAGTGTTCCCAACGGGTCAGGTAGGCCAGGCTGAACCGAAGGTCCGAAGCCGGGCCCTGCCTGCCACAACTATGGGGGATTTAGCCCGGCCGGAGCCTGCAGGCTTTGAAAAGCCTGGGCCTGGACTGGCCAGGCCTAGCCTATGAATACGGGCCTACAACCCCCTCAGATCCTTGGTTTCCGTTCAGCTCATCCCCCATTCCACTAAACTAGTCCAAGGTACTCTCACGAGAACCGTAAGTTACATGGTCCCTACGCAAATTCCATGCACTGGTGTTAATAGAATAGAACGAGTATCAGTAAGATCACTAATAGTATTAGGTATTGATCTTACGTGCGAGTAGTGATATGGATTTGCTCGTGGTTGATGAAAACCTCCAAGGTCTAATAGGGCTTGGTCAACCATAGTGGGCACATCACTAATGGATTCCTGCCGAAGAAACTGAATCAGAAGGAAGGATTGTGAGATAGGACTGCGTTGGAGAATCTGGAGGTAGATTTCCTAGACTTCTTTGAGCTGGTTGTGGATTGGCAATTGCATAGTTATCATACTTCAACCAACAACTGAGGATATAGATAAAATAATAAGCCACAATGAAAGTTGTAAGGAATCAAGCCACTCTTAGAACAATCAACTCTAAAAATCCCATTTGCAGGCCTGTCGCTGGCCTAGCCCGTTGGGAACACTGGCGCGGTGTGACCAAACTTGCGAGGGAAATGAGTGGCACGATGACAAGGGATGAATCCTTTACGAAAACTTAGCTGGCGTGCGAGATTGAAAGCCATGATTTTTGTGTTTAACGTGCGGGGGGGAGAAGGTTGTTGTGTTTAACATGCAGGAGATAAGGAGAAGGTTGAGGATAAGGAAGACACGACTGTCAGAAAAGAATCCCGGAGCTTAAATTCCCCGTCTGTTAGTGCAAGCAGCAGCGAGTGGAGGATGTCTCAATATACCATCGATAATAGCACCAACATTTCCAATAATACGAACTCTTTTAATGTACAGAATAGCTATGTTGTTGCGGATGATCGGGCTCAACTCCTGGCCTGGTTATCACCCCTAGAGCCCAGGGTGCAGCATCAAGACATCCAAGAGCGTCGTGTCGATAATGTAGGAGAATGGGTCATGCAGACTGACGAATTCAGAAAGTGGCATGGCAGGAATGGTAGGGGTGAAGATAATAACGCAGTCTTGTTTTACTACGGAGGTCCGGGGGTCGGCAAGACATTTGTCAGGTAACAAGAATTATTATTCATTGGGGAGGAAGGAGAGTCAGTGCTAACAAGCCGCGATGTCAGTTTGCTGGCAGTGGACAGGTTGTGCGATCAGTCTAGTGGACAAAGCAAAGCCGTTGCATGTTTTTAATTTGACTTCGCGGCTCGGAAGAGCAGTCTGCGACCAGTATGCTGGGTTCCTTGCCGAAACAGGTCGTTGGCGGGGTGGGAAGGACTCCGGGGGATATATCACGGGCCTTTCAACGATGGAAAGAGGTCATTGGTCGGCGAGGGCAGCGACTGCCGGGTATCGTGAAGATGTTACAGGCCACCACATCCTTACTACGCACATTTGTATGCATAGACGCCCTGAACGAGTGTGCGGCAGTGCATCGGGTCAGGCTCCTTGATTCGCTGAAAAAAATGCTCAATAATTCACCGCGCACACAGATATTCACTATTGGAAGACTTCATATTCGGGCCGAGATCGAGTAGCGTCTCTCTGGGCGAGTAACCAGTGTATCTCTGGGTCCTAGAAAAGACGATATCATCAAATAGCCTTGCGTTAGACTGGACGAAGATGTAACGCCAGATGCTATGGACGAGAGTTCAAAGGCAGACATTCTAGAGAAGATTCCGGAAATTATGTCGGAAATGTAGGTAGGCGATAATATCAGGCCCGCCTCACACTATTCGCTAATAGATATGTATTTAGGTTTCTATTGGCTTCCCTAAATATCGACGACGCAATCTTGCACGAATCGACAATCTCTCGGAGACGAGAAAGGCTAAGCAAAATAACAAATGGATTAAAATCGGGAGATGTTTATGGTGCGACGATTGAGCAGATAAAGACGCAAGATGGGGGCAAATTAGGACTTAGGATGGTAGTGTTGATGTGGGTTAGTCATGCAGAACAGCCGTTGCGAGCAGACAAGCTCTGCCAGGCCCTAGCAGTTACGCTAAGCTCCACGGGTTTCTATATTGGTGACGTTCCTTTGGTATCGACGCTGGTTGGCTCTTGTCGGGGACTTGGATAGGAGTCATCAACTGTGCGATTGATTCGCTTTATTCTCCAGGAGTATTTGTTCTCTCGTTTCGATGTGTTCGGCAAAACCTCACTCGGCAATGGCCGAAATCTGCTTGACTTATCTGAATTCCCAACAGGTCGAAGCCCTTTTGACTGCCCTTTTCCTGATACTCAGAACGCACCCTTTCTAGGATATGGTTCAATATACTGGAGAGTGCATGCAAAAAGGGAGCTCTCGGACTACGGGTGCTCACTTGCGCTGGAACTATAATAAGAGAGAAATATGGCCAGATATCGACCAGATTACTTTCAGCCCAAGCAAAGCACTTCCATCTCCGGAGTTTTGATGGCCTCTCTCTGTTCAGCTGACTGCACGGCCCATCATTCTTGGGAATTTTTGAGGTTATAGCTGATGCAATATCGATGGAATGTTATGATATCAACGACATGGGGTTTTCGGGTTGTGGGCCGCTTGGATGGGTGCTCGGAATGGACATGAGGGAGTGGTGAAAACACTGCTCGGGCAGGGAGGGATCAGCTCTCATGCTAGATAATGACGGGGAACACCGCTCTCGTTTGCCGCTGAGGGTGGATGCGAGGAAGTGGTGAAAATATTACTCGGACGAGAAGAGCTCAATCCCGACAAGCCGAATAACAGCGGCCGAACACCGCTCTCTCTGTTGTCGCTCAGAATGGACATAAGGGAGTAGTGAAAATTCCACTCAGACGGGAAGAGGTCAATCCCAACAGGCCAGATAATGATGGTCGAACACCGCTCTCCCGTGCGGCTTGTTTTGGACATGAGGGAGTTGTAAAAAATACTCCTTGGATGGGAAGAGGTCAACCCTGGCAAGACGAATAATCACGGCCAAACACCACTCTATTTTACCACCCAGAATGGACATGAGGGAGTAGTAAAAATTCTACTCAGACGGGAAGAGGTCAACCCCGACCAGCCGGATAATCGCAGCCAAACACGGTTCTCGTTTGCCGCTGAGGGTGGACGTGGGGGAGTGGTGAAAATGTTACTTGGACGGGAAGAGGCCCACCCCGACAAGTCAAATAATCGCGGCCGAACACCGCTCTCTGTTGCTGCTTAGAATGGGCATGAGGAGTGGTGGAAATGCTACTCGGGCAGGAAGAGGTCAACCCTGATAAGCCAGATAATTAGGTTCAAACACCGCGCTCGTTTGCCGCTCAGAATGGACATGAGGGAGTGGTGAAAATACTACTCAGGCAGGAAGAGGTCGATCCCGACGAGCCAGATAATTACGGCCAAACACCGCTCTCGTTAGCCTCTCACAATAAATATAAGAGGGTGGTTGCATTCCTATTCTCTCGCAAAGCGGTACCCCCCTATAAGGTTTAAGCCTAGGAGGCACCGCGTGATAGAACTAATCGCAGCCCGTGCATGCTACTCATGCCAAAGTACTCGGACATCACCCTTCGTCGATTGGGGAATCCCCATGAGTGGCAATGCACATATATGCCATACCCTCCTGTGCCTTCTCGGGGATTTAGTTTTGTGGTTAAGTGGGATTTGTGAGTTGCTGTTTACAAAGTTTGGTTCGTGGGGGGATATCAATTCTCGTGGGAAAGTCGGGCTTATAGCTTGCAGATGTCAGCCTGTCATATTGAATTCTTTTTTATCTGCAAATTCTTACATATCCTGTTTTTCTCGCACAGCCACTTCTTCCCTTACTTCCTTTCCTCCCCCCGAATGATAGATAAACTGTATATAATGCTTTTTAGGTAGAAAAATGTGGTGTACGATAGTGTAATGATTCTTGAGGCGATTGTCAAAAATTAGATACCGACCGGAGCTGTGATAGAAGACTAATTATTATAAAATTTAATGATACAGCTTAGTGAGTAGTATTATATCATCCTTAGGGGGGGGGCGGGTGGACAGGTTGACGATTACTGTATCATACATGTCAACTCACACACATTAGGTATAATCAATATAGTGAATTTAGTACTTAGAGGGACGGCAAAATGGGTATTTCAAGAAACAAAAAAAAAGGCCTTCATCCTCCATCCGTTTTTTTCATCCACCACCTTCCTTCGTCAGGTACTATCCACTTCTCGCACCGCTTTGACAAGATTCATCGGTGTGGAGACCACGGGGTAAGCGACACAAGCCAGTATTGCACTTTGATCCATAAGAGCAGCTGGTGTATTCCCTGATATCTCTTACTTTGCTACAACTAGTATAAAAAGGACCGCCGGCGCTGCTTGATTTTCCACCAACTCCACCAGAAAATAATCTCAAGAATCCCTACTCCATCCAAAAAAAGGTGCCCTGCCAGCATAGCTGATACGAAACCTCGCTAACTAGAGAAAATAGAAATATTTGCCAACCGGGGGCTGCACGTCTTCCAATTACCGCATTACCTGGTTTTATTCGCCTGCCGCTAGTACGTTGAAATAAAGTAGGGGCTGAGGGAAAACTCTTATTCCAACATACTAGTGGCAGGCGAAAAAAACTAGCTAATGCGATTCCAGTCGAGGTGGAAGTATGAAAAAAAGAAGGGAGGTGGAATAGACGCCGGGAAGGGCACTATTAGTATGTGGGGGACAAGCATGAGTTTACTGGCTGCTGCGGAGGAAGAACATATGTACCCCTACCTACATTCTAGGGGTGGCTCTGACTTTTCCGATAGGGAAGGCTGTGAGTGCTAAGTATAGTGTTCGCCCCCTCCTGCCCTTGATATCGGTTACCTAGTTAGGTAGCCTCTCTAAAGCAATACCTCCCACAACAGATAGACTATCAGGTGTGCATCCTTCTACAAATTTCCGCCTACGGTCCCATAACTCTACGCCAATGTTCTCGGATACAGAAGTGGATGTCCACAATCTGCATCGTGCTCAATGAATGGAGATGAGCTTTTGACCTATCACTTCTATGCCCGCGACCCAACGTGTCGCTAAGACAATTCTGCGTGGGAAATATGAGTCGATAATCAAGGGGGCAGAGGAAGGTAGTAAGCGGGTGTGGGGGTATCTTGTTGCTACGGATTTGCGTGGAGAGGGCCAACATGCCCTAAAGTGGACAATCAGGGCAGTTCTCAGAGATGGTGATACTCTGATAGCTATATATGCCATCGGTCAGGATACGGTGGGAAATTGCTGTAAGATTGTTCCAGATGACAGGATAGTGCGAGGATTGAGTAGCCAGACTGCCGCTGTGGGGACCAGCCTTGCGGCTATGAACAGGCATCATACACCAGCAACAGTGTCTCCGTTATCCAATATTGGGGATATTTCGGAGAGGAGTAGGGAGCGCACGATAGGTGAGCGGAAGCGGTATGTTGCGGCAGAGGCGGTCATTAGACAGGTGGAAAGGCTTTTGAAGAAGACGAGACTGCAGGTCAAGGTCACTATACGGGTGATTCACTGCAAGAGTCCGAAACATCTTCTCGACTAAAATCTGGAGTTTATAATTTATTTCTCGATATATGATCGTATAACCAATATGATTTAGATCGACTTGATGGAACCTACTCTAGTGGTCCTTGATCCGCGGGATAGAAGCGCACTGGAGGGGTGGGTGCCCTGAATTACACTCTGTTATAATAGTATTGCCTTATAAACCAACCCATCACCTAGCATCCTGCTGGGATGCTTCTCGAATTACCTGGTCACCAAATCCTCTGTCCCTCTGATGGCTGCCCGGAAAAAACTCAAGCATACTAAAAGGTTTGCTAAAACCAACGTCTGACAGCCCAATAACCTCACGACAAGTTCTCGGGCAGGCAGTCTCGCCGGTGCAAAGGTGGACTAACTACTATGCCAACTTGTCGGAGGGCTAGCGGTGGGAATACCAAGATTGGGGAAAATGGCGCGTTCTGAATGGATTTCATTTTTCTCTTTCTTCCCCTTTTCTCCACATCAATTATCATCGTCATCATCATCATAGAGGATAACAAGTCACAGGCTCTCACTCGTGTAAATAAACTATGCTATTAACTGTATGAATCACTACTCTCACTCTTCTTGCTGTTCCTTCATCTGGTGAAAGTGTTCTCAAGTAGTATCAATCGACGAGCAGCCGATTGGAGCGAATGGAATAAATTCCGTTGAGAATGAAGAAGGGAAAAAGGGATTTTGTGAGTAGCGAGAAAAAGAGAATGATTTTGACTAGGCTCAAACCGGGGACTATTAGTGTGGTAGACTGGTGTAGAACTAACTACGGGTAATTTACACCATGAAACCGGGTGCCAAGTCCTACGCCCATATCCCACCAAACCCCTTCCTCTACCACACCCTCTCCCCTCAACCCCCCCCCTAATACCCCCCCTCCTCCCCAAGAAACAGATCCACAACAACAACCGCATCCAAAGTCCTCCCACACCTCTCGACAACCTCCCTCTCAACACCCTCCTTCCCATTCCCATCCCCATCCAAAAGTCCCCTCAGCACCCCATCCAACACCCTCCCGACATCGTCCATACCCCGGATAATCTCGTCCACGTGCGGCAACTGCGGGCAAATCAGTAGCACGGTGCGCACGTCCTCCGCCAGGAAACGTAGGCTGGCCGCGGCCCTATATAGCGCTTTCGCCGATGAAGGTTTTTATTCCCGCACGGTTTCCCGAGCGAGGGTCTGTACAGAGAAAGGTGGGAGGGCGATGTTTAAGTACGGCGATCTCGTCCTCCGGCGCCAGCGGTGTGTCGCTTGGTATATGTCGGTGGAGCAGACTTGGTAAAAAAGAGAGTGGGTGTTTTTTTTAGAAGAAAAATTCTTTGAAGGTTAGCCCTCATTAATATGTCCATTCACCCTACGAAGATCCCTAGCCTCTACTGGTAGTTGTATAGCTCATGATCACTTTCTTGGAACATTTTCAGGCTTATCAAAGATACCAGACCTCGCCTACGTATCTCCCTTTCCCAAAGTCCCACCCCTGCTTCCACTACCTTAAGGTAACATGTCTCCTAGTTTGGTGCTGGGATCTCCACCTCCGCTGACATCCCGATCATAAACCATCATATCCTTCATATCCATCATCAGTGTACCCCGCCACGCCTCCCCAGCAATCCCCACCCCACTTCCATTACCACCGCCATCTGAATTAGTTCCCCCAGTTCTCAATCTCCTGGACGTAGTGATGACTCCTGGATTCTCTGCTTTGGAGGCCACCTCTATCAAACCGGTGAAGCTCTGACCCTGATATGCCAGACTTAATCCCCGGGACCTGTGCACCAGGTTCTCCATTTTTCTGTTCTCCCCAGGCACCGGTCAAATCCATGGGGCATTTCCTCGGCGCGAGACGAGAGGGATGGTTGTTTTGTCGACTGGTTGAAAGTGGTTGCTTCGCATGCCGCTCAAATATTCCCGGAGTTTGAGGACTTGGTCACGCTTGTAGTGCGGCGGGGCGTGTGTTCTAGGAGTGGGTATCGGACGCGGAGGTAGGTATCGGAGCTGGTTTTTCGCCATATTAGTATAGCCTGCCTGAGAGTGGGTTCCGATCGCATGGAACCGTTACCGGTGTGGACTTGTCCGGAAGGGCTAGGATGTTGCAAATCATTACGTACGTCCATCAAGACCGGCAGGTCATTTGTGTAATAGTATTCATATGTTGCAATCGTGATGAAGAGGAGGTAGAGAAGTTTTGGTATTTATTAACGATTGCAATCCAGTTTCACCTGCAGTGGCCCCGGATCATTAGCCTCTGTCAAACTATAGCTCCCATTAAGCTACGCCCCTCGCTCTCACGGTTAAGCAGAAGGATGATATTCTCCCTAAAAGTCTTGAATGTAGAACGATGATAACAGACAATTTTCACAACTTTATTCGTTGGAGTGGCCGGTGGGTCTGCAGGGTTTGAAGTAGGGCCATGGGCTGAACAACATGTATTGCAAGCTAGCGAGGGGTCAGTCCGAGCGCAGTGTTAGCTAACCCTGGAGGAGATATACTGTACGTATCATACCAAAATTATGATTGCCTGGTAATGATATGGGTCATTAGGCTGCTCAGGATCGCTCTCCACCAACCCAAAAAGATAGGGTATGAATTCTCCATCAATCACTTCTATTGTGGAGTCAGTAGCGTTCGAAGCTCCTAGCTGCCAAATAGCTAACGGGAAGTTCTACCCAAGTGTTCGCGTCTCAAGTGCTGTATTCGAGACACCTCGTAAAGCAATTCTTCAAGTGACCGGTGGAGCCTTGTATCCCCATCCCTCTCCTCCTGAGCCAGGTCGATTAACCTGATAAAATGGTCCTCGTCTAACACCACCTCAAATGTCTTCCAGGCTCCCCGGCCATCATACAACAGAACGAGCACAACCGAGGTGTGCAATTGAAGGGCCAAAATCCCCTGTGCACCATCGTCAGCCACTCAATACCCCCCGCCGAAGGAAGGCTGAACTGGGCCTAAAAACGTGGGCGGGCCCAACCTCCCTTAACAGTCCGATCATGCGCCGGCGGACATAACCTCGATATTCCGTAAACAATGGAGAATCCAAGACCTTGTAAGCACACTTCGCCAAAATCGTACTAGGAAACCAAGTGCTCGTCTTCAACCTCTATGTGTCAAAACTTATGCCGCCGAGTAAACAAAAAACTGGAGACCCCTAACGTCGGGAATTCCGGTAGAAACAACGGAGGGAGGAAGTAGCTGTCACAAGGAGGAGAGTGTTCGGGGAGGGGCATTGCACCTGTGAACGGGGTGGGGATTTCTGGATAAGACATCAGAGTGTGGTCAATGAACTTCTATCGCCAATTCGCAATAGGAACTGGCGTCATCGTCTAGCTCTGTTAAGGTCAGCAGCGATCACAGAATCAAGAAACATGGTGTAGAGAAGGGGCACTTTTACCATCCCAGAATTGCTGTCCGTTCTCCAGGGTGTGGGCGACATGGAAATCCATCTTTCTGTCTTCCATCCTCTCTATGCTGGGGGCGAGTGGCTCGAGATGGGGGGGGGGGCGCCGTGCTCGGGTGGTGGAATGGCGAGAATAGCCCTTCTCGGAGGAGTGTTTGAATGGGGAGACGAAGCCAAGGAGTGAGCATCACCATCTTAGCAAAAAATTGATCAAACACCCCGCCTAAACCTGAATAGGGTGGTGATGAGTCGGTCATTGGTTGAACACCACCTTTGCGGTTGAAAAACAGCCAACTTCTCCCCACTAACTCCAGCTTAGACACATTTCATGAGGGCTGAGCCCCACAAGCAAGAACTCCTCCAACCTCTCCAATTATCATATCATGCTTTACTCGTACATGGCTCCAGGCGCCCATTTTCCCTTCCGGAACTGGAACCACTCCAGCCTACCACCCAAGTGGTCCCCGGTTCAAGCCCGGGCGAAACCAATCTTTTCCCCCCTCTTGGCGCTAGTTATCGCTTTTGCTCTCAATCAGATTTAATTTCTTTTCCGCCATTTTTCCCATTACGCCCCTTACTTTAACTAGGTTGGAATGTATCACAAGCCCAAACCCCCGACGGCTGCCCCTAAGGAAGGTCTGGGAGTGGGTCGCGTGGTGTTGAAGGCAGGGAAACAGATAGAGATATGGACGGGGAAGTGGGAAATAGAAAAGATGGAGGGGATTAAGCACTTGTCCTTCTGGCAGGTGGGTTTAGGCTTATTAGTACTGGCAGGTATGATGTACCATAGGGGGAGGGGCATGGGTTCAATTTGCGGGTGGAAGGGCGCCAGCTGCCATATGCCCGTATGGTCAGCGTTGAACAGGGTAGCCATGTAATGCGGGACTGATTAGCTTCCAGGTGGGACTACACGAGTACATAGTGGACCCTCGTATGAGGGGCTATTTCACACGAGTGATTACTCATGACGGCGGATACAAAGGTCTCATGCGATCAGAGTTGCACTTTGAGAAGCAGATAAAGTCTAATGTGAAAAGGCAAAGTATATCATACGGGTGTATAGCCCTTGGTGCCCTTGCACACTCTAGTTTAAGGCATCATATCATATTAATCCTTTAAATTCACCACTGAAGATTTCCACAGAATTCGCTGTCTAAACCGTTAAAACCACAGTAGACTTAGCAGGGTAGGTTGAGAAAGTAACGAATACCAGTTAATGAGATCCAGCAAACTCGGGCTCCATGCTATACTCTGTCGGGATAATACTATTCCTTCTTGGGGTGTTCTGTCTCTGATTAGGGGGATCCGAGGCCTCGATAGGCAATGTTGGGTTTAAAGGACAAATAGGCGATCACTCCGTATTTTCGCTGTCCAACTTCGACACGGCCACGGGTGTGTATTCACTATCCGAAACTAGATTCTTCTAGATCTTGTGTAATGTATTGGACCGGGAAGCGAATCAGACATGGAAGTGAATCACTTTGTATGTGAATTTTACGAGAAAACCTTTTCTATACCATGGGCTTGGCATACAAACCTTTCGGATACCATCCACCGAGAAATATACCATTAAAAAATGTAAAACCTTCAGCTATGATCACGGTTTCTATCGCAACAGCGAATGGACCGTCAAAACAAAGGAACTCCATCCGTGCACTTAGAGATAAATAGAGTAAAAAAAATAAAAACAATTGAAATATGTTAGTAGAAATTCCACACTACAAGCACACCTGATCGCGATAGGAAAAAATTAAGAGGGGGCTCAGGTGGAAGCCGATAGGAAGGAGGTGTGGGTGGTGGGGAGGGGAGAAACATCATAAAGGTATAGAGGTTACCTTTATTCGGCTAGTTGATAATCCTGAAATAATCCAATACTTGCTTCTGGCATCCCAGTCATGGTTTCATTTTTTTGAATGGTATATTTCTCGGTCGATGGTATCCGAGAGGGTTTCTCGCCAAGAGCATGGTACTGAAAAGGTTTGCTCGAATTTTACTTAATATATATCGGCAGTGGTCATAGCAGTGTTTCAGAGATCCCACAATACTGCATTTAGTAACTACTATTCCTTCGCAAGCTAGGGCTTTATCAGAGCAGAGATAGTGGATGTCATGAGATCTTGCTCGCGCATCTTTGCTAAGAATGCCGGGTACCGGTTTCTGCTGATGAACTCGCCATTTTGCACCAAAGTTTGGTCCCCGGCGGTATTCTTGGCAAAGATGTGTGAGCACTTAAGTACATTACGTTATTACCCTTATATCGCTTAATCAGGCTCCACTTCCGCTTGCAATAAAGGTGGCTATTCTCTCTTGCTTTTTCCCCCTTCCGTCCTCACTTAATATCTATTATTCTATTTTTTTTTATCAAACCTCCGAGCCACCTGTTTCTCGAAAAGTTTTCATCCACCCTGGAGACCAGCAAAGCACGCTCCCCCTCCTTTTTAGTATTCATTCCGGGGCAGGGTAGGGCGGGTTTCCATAATTTCTTCCTGCCCGGTTACAGCCATGGGGTACCGCCAAACTCTCTTCTCCCTGCCCCACCCTCTGCACAGGGGCTACTGGGCGACCCCAATTGTGCTCCCAGCCATATAATTTGGTGGGAGCAGTAGCGGGGCCCATACAGAGGGTGGCCAGGGCAGGGGGCCGTATCGGGTGGGGGAGGAAATGGAGGAAAAAATAGGCCCCGCCCCGGGCCAAACGCCGGGGCAGGGACCTGCAGTTTTTGGGGCCCCAGAGGCCCTGTAACAAACTCTACTCCTTTTTTGACTCTTATTGACATGGATTACCGATGCAGCTCTCTATTAGTGGTGGCCCCTCAAGCAAAGGTACCAAACACTTACCAGTACTCTTTCTTGTGTTTACCAGTGCTTACTAAGAATATCTCAATTATCTAGATGGTGTTTGGGCTCATCTATTGTGATGTCGATGGGAACACTGACCAGAGGAAAGAGCTGGCAACAGTCAAAGAGTGTTTCAGCACTGCAGTTCAATCGATATCTCGGGTCCAAGTTAGAACCTTTGCAAAGCCCAAGGCAGCATATGCAAATGAGTCCGGCAGCTCAATCCTTAAATCAATTCAAACAATGCAAGACGAGATACTCAGGTTACAGAAGGAGTTTGAAGTGCAGGAAGAAAAAACAGAATACTGCGTGAGGAAGTAAGAATCCTGCATCCATTAAAGGACACCGCGGTGGATATCCATAGGAAACTTTTTGCTACTTTTTGGCGGGACGAGGGGCTACCGGCAATGGGAGATACCTTATCTATTTGGTTAGGAAATAGCAGGGCACACTTAGGAGATATCTATACTAATATCTGCCTGCTCAGAATAACTTAATTGCCCGCGAAGACAGCTTTGCTGCTTTATATGATCTGAAGTGGTGGGAAGCTGAAGAGCTTCGTGGTATTCCTCTTAATTCCTATAGGCTTCACAGAGAAATTTCTATTTCTAACAGGAAATACTACCTTTAGGATTCAAGCACCTAGTATCCGCGATGAACAAACGCACGACTACAATCGTGAATGTCAGTCCCCAGACTGTGTGGAAAAGTGAGGCGGGATTCCGCAAGCTGGTCCAATGGACCAAACAGGCGACTCCATGGGAGCTGGAGGAGTTCACCAATGATGATGTTGGGAAGACCCCCTACAAGTGCCTCTTTTTAGGCCTTATGCTTAGCGGTTAGGATGGGATGGGTAGTACTGGTTGGGGTTGACCGGTATTTGGGCAATGTTTTTCTTCTTTTTTTATAAAAAATCCGCGTTTGGATGGTTTTGTTATAACTGTTGTAATTATAAATTCTACATTTTTGTAGCAACCGACGCATGCTACAGTGGCAGTGCAACAGTGAAGTTTTGGCAAGCACAATCCTGATAATGCCGCCACCACAAGGGGCACTATCAGAAAGATGCAATGAGACACTGGCAAACAAATCCCCTACCTAATGTCCGAGCTTGCAAAGACCGAGCTGCGGCGACAGTACCAAAAAACAATCTCCTGTGTGCACTGTGTAAGCGGATAGAATATAGCCTGGTTATGACACAGATGGTCCTTGAGCGATTCTAATACTATGGTTAATATCTATTCCGCAGCGAGTTATTCAGTAAAAAGTCTGGTCCCAGGGCGGGCTCATGGGACATCAAACCTGGGTTACAAAGGCAGCTCTAGTTCACCAAGGATGCAAAGCATGATGATTAGAGAAGTGGAAAGGGTTCCTACTTATGTGGCACAGGCTCCACGGAATGCCTCGAATTTTGCATTATGGTAGTAGGGGGAGCTCAATTGTTTTTCAATCACAAAAGCGGTGTTCATGAAAGGGCTGAATCATCATTTTCCGATTTGGGTCCAGGGGCAGAGTTTGGTGAGTGGTTGGGTGGTTTCATAGTGTATAACCAACTACACCACGAAACCTTGTTTCGCATCTTCCACATTGCTCAACATACAGCTGTATGCGTTTATTGCATATCGTCTCACAAGGGTAAGGGGATTTGGGCCGATTACGGAAGCTGTCCGGGTTGTGTAGTAAGTTACCGGTGTCGTAGGGATGCCGGTGGGTTGCCATTTAAACCTGAACAATTGCGCCGCGAGCGAGTGATGGCTGGAGGGTTTCCATTGGAGGCTCGCCTGGGGGTGTTAGTTTTGTTGTTGGGTTGGGTATTATCCCACTCAAGAGGGAGGGAAAGAGGGTCATTGTTAAGGGTTGGGCGCGCTCTTCTTCTCCATCGTCTAGTTCCCCTTCCCCACCGCGTAATTTTGAGCCGGGCAGAGACGAATCGGAGACAATCCTCCGAAACCCTTCTAAACTTGGTGTGGCAATGTCTCTACTAGAGGCCTTTAAGCCATCCAGATACTCGATATGCTCATCCAACTACCCCTTGACAATCTGTAACACTTCCGTACGATCGCCTCCTTCATACGCCCACCCAACACCTCGTGCAAGAGCTTGGGCGCGGCAAACATCTTGACTGGATCCTCACCATTGCTGTTCCGTCAAACCCAGCCAAGTCCTCAAGTTGCCCCCGAAAAAGTCATTAGGGATCTCACTGCTAACC